CCCCCCCCCTTTCTTTCACTGCTTGGTTTATTTACGACACCGGCTCTCTTCCATTACGACCCCATTCCGTTCTCGCAACGATGGCTCACTCGGACCAGATCAGCTCCGAGGGCCCTTATGCCCAGGAGAAGGCCAGCTCTAGCGATGACGCCGTCAAGGGATACAACCAGGAGGTTTCTTCCGCCGCCGATAACCAGAGGCCGGAGGAGCGCCAGCTCCACCGTGCCCTCAAGAGTCGTCAGATTAGCATGATTGCTATCGGTGGCGCTCTCGGCACTGGTCTCATCATCGGCACTGGTTCCGGTCTCGCAAACGGTGGACCCGCGTCCATTCTCATCTCATATTCCGTCATGGGTCTTTGCTGCGCAGCCGTCATGGCCGCGCTCGGCGAAATGTCCACCTACATGCCTCATCCTCGCGGTTTCGCCGGTCACGCTACTCGATTCGTCTCTGACGAGTTCGGCGTTGCTACCGGATGGAACTATTTGTTCAAGTACCTGGTCGTCACGGCCAACAACGTCAACGCCGCAGCCCTTGTGGTTTCTTACTGGACAGATCTTTCGGGAGGAATCTGGATCGCCATCGTAACGGTCTTGATCATTGCGCTCAATTTCGGCGGTCCCAAGTGGTTTGGCGAGGTGGAGTTCTGGCTCTCGCTCGTAAAGATCATCACCATGACGGGCCTGATCATCCTGCTGCTCGTCATCGACCTCGGCGGATCGCCCACGGGCGACCGCATTGGATTCCGCTACTTCCAGGACGGCCTCGCCTTCCGACCCTACCCGCGAACGAGCGGCGACAAGGGCCGATTCCTCGGATTCTGGTCCACCATGGTCACCGCCCTCTTCGCCTACACTGGTAAGTGCATCACTCCTTTCCCCTGCACCCCTGGCGCGATTGCCGGAACAATGCTGGATTGCCAGACGAACCAAGAGGTGGAAGCGAAGGCCATGGCCATGTCAAGGATTGCACACGACATATGGGATGCCGGCAGATGCAAATTTTTGGGTGGCGGTGGTGCGGGGGTGGAGGTAACAACAAGGTATCCGAAATGAAACGCTAACTCCTCGTCTTTGCTTCTGCCTTGGTTTGCATTTCTGCCACGCACACACAGGCTCGGAGCTGGTGGCGGTGACGGTGGGTGAGGCGGCGAACCCGCGCAAGTCGGTGCCGTCGGCGATCAAGAAGACGTTTTTCCGCATCGTGTTCTTCTACGTGGTGGGTGCATTGCTCGTGGGAATGGTGGTGCCCAGCAACGCGCCCGAGCTGCTGGCGGCCAACAAGAAGGGCACCTCGGCGGCGGCTTCGCCGTTTGTGGTGGCCATTGTGCGTGCGCGCATCCGTGTGCTGCCGGACATCATCAACGCGGCGATTTTGATCTTCTGCATCTCGGCGGCCAACAGTGACCAGTACATCGCAGCGCGCACGCTCTACGGCCTGGCGATCGATGGCAAGGCACCGGCGATCTTCCGACGTGTGGATCGTCGTGGTGTGCCGTATGTGGCGCTGTCGGTCACGGCGCTGTTCTGTGCGCTGGCGTTTATCAACCTGGCGAGCGGTGGACCGCAGACGTTCTCGTACCTGGTTGCGTCCGTGACCATGTTCGGCGGTCTGACGTGGATCTGCATCCTGATTGCGCACATCCGATTCATGAAGGCCATGAAGGCCCAAGGCATGGACCGCAACTCTCTCCCCTGGAAGTCTCCGCTGCAACCGTACCTCTCGTACTTTGCCGTGGTATTCACATCCATCGTCGTCTTCTTCAAGGGCTGGAACTCGTTCCTGTTTACGTTCAACTGGCGCACCTTCCTCACCAACTACATCGGTCTGCCCATCTTCTTCCTCATCATGATCGGATGGAAGCTCTGGCACCGCACCGAGTTCATCCGCCCCGAAGAGGTGGATCTGGTTTCGGACGTGCGCGAGTTCGACGAACAGGACGAACTCGTCTGGAAGCAGGACGAGGAGAAGAACAATGCCATGATGCAGGGCGCACCCATCTACAAGAAGGTCTGGATCTACGCCAAGAACTGGTAGATTTCCCCCCCGTAGCGCAAGCCAGAAATAGATTGTGGATCCTCTCATTCTTTGCGTGGAGAAGATGAGGTGTGTGCAGTAAGCGGCGGCACGCGCCCCTCATGAGTCGTGCTGGACGGAGCCGAGCGTGATTTGCACTGCTCTTGGTCGCACCGCCCTCGCGGCAACGGCAAGGTTTTCCACAATGTCGTCGGGGTCAAGTCGCGAGTGCTCGGTGCCGGCACGACATGTTGGGTTCGGGCAAGACGACCGACGGCGGGTCTGTGAGCGGGCATGAAGAGTGTCATCGCCCTTGAAGCGCTTGCATTCAAGCGCCGCATTTGAGCCGCCAGCGCCGAACAATACAGACACACAGGCCGAGCCCGCAACTGCCATCGTTCGGCCACCGCCGCATCGCCCGCGGCCGCAACCCACTCGTCCGACAGTTCGGCGTGCCCTTACCCTCCACCCGTGTACTTTTTGATACGAGCGGAGTTGTTTGTCATCGTGACGAGCGTAAGACTCAAATTGCGTGCATGTTACGGTACATGTGTGGATAGACGAAGGCTACCAGTCCAAGGCAAGACGTTGGCGGCGCAACGCCCGAGTAAAGCATTGCGACGTGGTGCGTTCCTCCTCGAGATGGTGTTGCTGCTATTGCTCGAGACGTACACGTTGCAACTACAACATGTCGAACCGTCAACTTGGTCTTGGCGGCGCGCGCGCGCACTGCAGCACAACACTCGTCCGCGTGGATTTAGGCCTCCCAAGTGATGCCGTGGTTTGGATCGCTCACCACACCTGCACCCATACGTCGTGGGAGGTTCGAACTGCCGGCACCGACGACATTCTGCTCATCCCCTTCTCACCACACTGCACACTTTGACTGTCACACCCACACACTTGGCTCTGTGCGTGATGGCGTTGGTTTGATTGACGCGTCAAATGCGCGAGCGGTCTTGTTCCGCACTGGCGGCTGCGATCCAGTGTTCGTGTCGGGTGCACAGCTCGGCGATAATATCCTCCTCGAGCTCCTTCTCCCCGCCCTTACCGCCACCTTGCCTACCCGGCCCCGAGTCGGACAATCGCATCCACGTCGCCTCGAACTTGTCCCCCTCCACCTCGAGCTGTTCGCGCTTCCTCCCTGCCGACAACTGCGGGTTGGACGATGCACGCTCGACAAAGACCACCTCAAACTTGCGCCTATTCAGGTCGTTGCCAATGACGAGCTGGTGGCCGTACCTCTGCAACGCACCCACCGCTTTGGGAATCAACAGCTGCGGATCCGTCTCGAGCTTAAAGCTGACCAGGTATCCCTCGGGCACCCACTGCTCCACCATGGGCTTGAGCACCTTGGGCACCTGGTCCATCTGGATCGTGAGCGAGCCTTTGCCCGATTGGATCTTGTGTTCGGGCACGCTGGTCGAGGGGATGAAAAAGTCGCTCACCGCCGCAGCGAGGTAGTACATTGCAGAGCGACCGAGCGGCTGCATGATGCGAGACATCTCGCGCAGCAGCCACAGATAGTCGTTGACCGTGACGAACGGTACGGTATGCAGCAGGCCCGAGGTGCGCGCATGGTGGTAGGCGGAAAGGATGGGCCGAAGATGCGCAACATGCTGCTTGAGCACCGTGATGTTGTCTTCGCCCGAGGACGAGGCGGGCGAGTCAGTGTGGACGTGCGTGGCCGGATCGGCAAGCAGATCGAGGAACGGATTGGTGGTGTGGCTGTAGTGGCGCGTGTATGGAGCGAGCGAGTGCTGCCTGCTCATAAAGATGACCGCATAGCCGGCGGAGAGAAAGTACTCTGCGGATGTAGCCCCGCGCGTGCCTGCGGAAAAGTTGTCCAGGAATCGCACCACATTCTTCTCGAGCGGCACCGTTGTACCGCCCGAAGTTACGAGCACGACTTTGCGGCCCTCGCGCATGTGGCGCTGCACGAACTCGGCCGCGGTGGCAGACACCTCGCGCAGATTCGAGGGCGGCGCCTGCGTCTGGAAGAATCGATCGCTGGACCATTTGGCCGCCGGCGAGGACGAGGATGAGGATGAAGCGGCGGCGTCGGTCATCGTAGAGTTGCGCCGAGCGAAGCAGAGTCTCAGCAGGACGCAGTTGAAAGCGAGGCTTGGTGTGCGGGAGGGTGGCTTGCGATGTTGCAGTGTGGGGGTGAGGTCGGAAGCAACGAGTAAGATGGGCAGAATGGCGCTGGGCTCGTGCGCTGTGATTGGCAGGTGCGAAATTTGAGCCAATGTGTTAGACCGTACGCTCGCTCGAAGCCTCGCGTGTCTCCGCCATCTCAGAGCCGCGCCGCTGCTGCTGAGTAGGAAGTGCGGATGTGATGCGAATATTCATTTGCAAAGTGACAACTGGTCGGGCATCACATCTGCATCGGCTGCCATCCGACCTCCATCAACCACCAAACGCGCCACCTCGGGCCCCACTCGACGCTGCTCCTCCGCCATGCCGCGTCGAAAGCTGCCCGCTGCGGGCGCCGCATCCACCTCCTCTTCCACACCGGCCGCTGCCACTCCGTCTCGGCGCATGGAGGCGGGCCCGGAGCGCTCTCCCTCTCCCTCCTCATCGCTCGGCATAGGCAGGGCATCCAACCCGCCCTCGTCGCCACACAAGCCGCCACGATCCAAACCCGCCATGCCTGCGCGCGCGCCTTCGCCCACTCTCTCCGAGATCTCCACCTCTGCCTCCGAGGGCGAGGACGGCGTCACGTCTAGCGCGCCGCGTGCGGCACGATCCGCGTCGCCCGAGGGCGACGAACTGATGGACGAGTCGATGCGCGACTCGTCGGCACCCAACGACGCCGAGGTGACGTGCCAGTGGAACGACTGCGGCGAGACGTTCAACAGCCTGCAGCCGTTCATCGACCATCTGCACCACGAGCACATTGGCATCCACAAGAGCAAGTACATGTGCGAATGGACCGGGTGCATCCGCAAGGGCAAGCCGCAGACGTCGCGCTTTGCGCTGCTCAGCCATCTGCGTAGCCATACGGGTGAGAAGCCGTTCACGTGCCCACGGCCCGAGTGCGACAAGAGCTTTACGAGGTCGGATGCGCTCAGCAAGCATATGCGCGTGCAGCACAACATTATCACGGCCGGATCGAGGCGTGCGGCGGCGTCGAATGCGGCGGACGAAGCGGAAGATGCGTCGATGGTGGTAGAGGGTGCGGAGGCGACGCCGGCCAAGCCTGCGGGTGGCGCGACGGATTCGTTGGGTGACGAGCTGCTCGAGCTCGCCGGGGGCGAGGCCGACTTGCTGGCAGCAAGTGCGTCGGGCGAGGCGAATCTCTACACCATGTCGGCGGAAGAGCTGGGTATTTCCGAACGACTCGGCGCCGACAGCGATGCGGAGGAGGCCAAGCGCAACGAGGCGGTGCTGGGGCGCGCGCTGCGCGTGTGGGCCAAGGACGTGCGTGAGCGCGAACGCAACCGCAAGCCGCGTGACCCCGCCTCTCGAACGCGCGCATCCGCCTCGGGCGAACCGGAGGAGACCAACGGCAAGCGGGACTACGAAAGCGACTCGGGCGATTCGTTGGATGTGTCGGTGCGTCGCACGCGCCGCAACACGCGCACGCGCCGCTCGTCGCGCTTCGCCGAGGACGGCTCGATGGAAGCGGCCAAAACGGCCATCGCGAGCGCGCGCACGAGGTACGTGGTGGAGAAGGCCAAGCTGCGATACGTGCGTGCGGAAAATGCGCGCTTGTGGCGCCAGCTCCACCAGCTTGAAGCGCAGCAGCATGCAGTGGCGAGACAGTGCACCCAGGCACTCGAACATGCGCTCGTCGAAGAGTTGGGTCAGGACGTAGATGCCATCTTCACCCCGCCCGCCTCGCCCAAGTCCGCCGCCGCCGCCGCGGTGGCGGGTGACAACGAGGCGCTCGTCGACGACCATCGTACCGCAGCGTGAGGCATTCATCCTCCTTCAACCCGAAACTTCAGTGTGTGTCTGTGTGTGTGTTGGGTGTATGTGTGTGATGGGCAAGGTATTGAAAGGAAAATTAAGGATACAGCAAGCCTGGATATCGGCGGCGGCGGGAAAGTGGTATAAAAGGAATAGTACAAGGGGTTTTTAAGATGGACGCTCGAATCGGTGACGGTTGATCTTTGTCGGTGTCCTCAGCTCGCCACGGGGAGCATAGGTTGCAGCGAATCTGCCCGTGCTGGGTGGCTGGGGGCTGGGGGAGACATTGACAAAGTCGGCATAGTGGAAGTTGGTGTCGCCACCGGGTGCGGCGGGGGTGCCCACTTCAAAGCAGCCGCTGTTGCGCAGTGTCGACGGCGGCGGTGTGCGTGGTGACCTCGGCGTGCGTGTCGCCATGTACTCGTGCGCATCCCGTGGCGTATCCGATCCCCCTGCAACACCAGCAGCCGCGGGTTTTCGCGCAGAGGGTGGTGGAGTTAGCGGTTCACCCCGTTGCGTCGTGGTCCGGCTGCGCGGTTCGCCGAACGGATCCCAGAGCGAAGTGTGCGCTGGTGTCGCAAGTACCCCCGTCGCGGCGGCGTCGGTATCGGCATCAGACGAAAAGCGCTTGATCGACGAAGGTGACGGACTCGATGCGAGGAACAGCAAGTAATCGGCCGCAGTACGATCCTCGGCCTCCTCCTCGGCAGCAGGCAGCGCGGGGACGGACCAGGAAACGTTGCGCTTGTGCCGTTTTGCCGGAGGTACGGTGCGCTTGAGTGTGGGGCTGAATCCGATGCCCAGTCCATGCTGCGGCGGGGTGTGCGGGCGGTCGGAGCCGCTCGAGTCGCTCCCGCTGCTGGCGGCACGCGATTCCGCCAGTGCAGCGAGCGTCGTGGCAACGCGGTCACGCTCCTCCTGATCCTGGTCCACAGCGTGCACCAGGATATGTCGGCCCGATGCGTGGCGCGACCGCGGCGTGCGTGGAGTGGTCAACCCTAAATCCTGCGCCAGCGAAGAGGCCGGATGTCCGTTGGGCAGGAAGCCCGTACTGTGCAGTCTCGAGCGGCGCGGCGTGGTGGTGGTGGTGGTGGTGGTGGTGG